CTCTATGAAAACATCTCACAAAATATAACTTAATTATCTTTGCTGCAATTAATTATCTAATATTTATATTTCTTGATAAATAATAAATTATTAATTAAATAAATACGTTACTTTAACCTATAGATTTAGTTTTAAATACATTTTACAGTATACCTTGCATTCCACATTGTTTCCATGAGTGGGTCATTGAAATAATATTATGTACTATAAACAAAATTAGCCAATAGAAAGAATATGGTACAAAAGTTAAATTTAATTTTCATTGTCCTCTACCTCTCTTTCTTGCTACGATTTTTACTTTTGCTCCTCTCAAAACACAAGCTGTTAGCAAGGTCCGCTCCAACTATCCCTTTAGTGTAAATAACTTTAAGGAGCTAATATAAGTGTATTTAAAGAAAAGATCTTTAGAAATGAGCCTCTTAAAATATTACTTGGGTAGAAGTGCTATTTTTAAAAAGCTATTGTAAGGACACAAATTAGTACCTTTTTAGCAAAAGTGGCTTATCAGATAACAAAATATCAACTGTTGTCTTGAACTGAAACAGCGTTATAAATATATAGCCATCCTCCCTAGATTTTTCAAGATAATAATAGGAAGATGTGCAATTCCAGTTAGCATAACTTTTACAAACATCTATTGGCAGGATGTAAATTCATAGAGGAATAAATACAGAGGAATAAAGGTTCTATGTCAAACATTCTTGAATACTTGAGTTCCTTGGGTATGTTACTTCCTATTTATCTAGTATCCACCACTCATCTCTCAGTTTGTTGTACTGTGGTGGCTTGTGTGTTGCTGTGATGCTGGAAACTATGCCACTGGTATTTCAAATACCTGCAGGGTCACCCATTGTGGGAAGGTTTCAGTGGAGCTTCCAGACTAAGACAGACTAGGAAGAAGGACCTGATGATCTACTTCTGAAAAAAAAAGGCCAGTGAAAACCTTATGAAGAGCAGCAGAATATTTTCTGATATAGTGCTAGAAGATGAACTCCTTAGGATGGAAGGGACTCAAAACACAACTGGGTAAGAGCTTCCTCCTTAAAGTAGAGTCAGCCTTAACGACTTGGATGAAGTAAAGCTTTTGGGACCTTCACTTGCTGGTGTGGCACTGTTCAAATGAGAAGAAACAGCTGCAAACATCCATTAACGATGAATTTAAGGAAAATTGAAGTTGTCAAAAATGAAAAGGAACACATAAAGATCAATATCAAAGCCATTAGTGAGTTGAATAGACTGGTATTGGCCATTTTGAATTGGACAATTATATGGTCTACTGTGCCAGGAATGACAAATTGACGAGGAATGGTGTCACGTTCATGGTCAAAAGAACATTTCAAGATCTATCCTGAAGTCCAAAACTGTCAGTGATAGGATAATATCCATATACCTACAAGGAAGACCAGTTAATAAGACAATAATTCAAAAATACATGCCAATCACAAATGCCAAAGATGAAGAAACTGAAGATTTTTACCAACATCTGCAGTCTGAAATTGATCAAACATGTAATAAAAATGCATTAATAATTACTGGAGATTGGAATGCAAAAGTTAGAAACAAAGAAGAAGGATCAGTAGTTGGAAAATATGACCTTGGTGATAGAAAGGACACTGGAGATTCATGATAGAATTTTGCAAGACCAACAATTCATTCATTGCAAATATC